GGTAGACAATTTAACGACATTCTCAACTCTCAACACATATGTGCCTGACGTTAGAAGTTTAGTTTAGTAGTAGAGGTTTTAAGGCGCTCGCAACTGCATAAGGTCATATGAGCGCCAAAAGATTAGAGCTGCTACAAGAGAGTAACAAACATAAAAAAGAAGGGGAGATAAGGATGATAGATGTTTGATAGGAAAGAAGAAGCAAACCACAGCAGAGCACCTGCCAACCACCCACTGACGTTAGAAGTGTTACAAGAGAGTAACAAACACGCAAACAGGAGGAGGAGGCATCGTGACGATGGATGTTTGATAAGAGAGAAGGACAAACCACACCAGAGCATCCACCAACCATCCACAGAAGACAATCTAAACACAGAAGAAAACACATTTACACGTCATAGTATGCACTATTTCGAAACAAAGGAATGACGTACTTGATGACCTTGTCCGCAGAAGTCAAAGCCACGATGGCCGCCACCAGAAGGAAGAGAGAGGACCTCATACTGGAATGCTGCAACAGAAAATACAATCACTGGAGATGTTTGTTCTGTGTCCCCCAAAAGTGTAATTGTTCGCGTAATTGTTAGTGTTTTACACAATACATCGACACAATTCAGTTCGTTTAGAAGAGGCGATGCTTCGATCGAGTCTGTAAGGGCAAACCTAGGCTGAAAAGGATACAACTTCCCAGAAGACAGGGGGGATTCCGTAACAAGCGACCACGATGAAACAGTAGAATAGAGGGTTAGGGTTTGGGGTAGGGTTAGGGTGTGGGGAAATGGTAGGGGTTGGGTTAGGGTTTGGGGTACGGGTAGGGTTAGGGTCTCTTCTTTATTGTATTTGTTTGTGGTGATCGCTCGTTACAAAAGTCCTTCCCAGTAGACGAACGGGGATACTCAATGAAACAAAATAAACCCAGGAATCGAAAGCCAGTCTTGTGTGTGTTAAGCATTAAAATCGGCACACTATCACACCACGGGTGTTAGTTCCGGTAGTGTAATGGTTAGGTTCTTTGCCTTTCGGACAAAAGACTTGAGTTCGACATCCTCTCGAGGTACACCCCCGAGCTTTAGCACGTCACTTGGCAATTCACGATTGTTTTTGTCCATCGTGTTGAAATAAATCAAGAAAGCTATGTAAAGTGTAATAATAGCATAACGTTCCACGCAGCCTAGGTCAACCCTGACTGAGAGGGTCCAACCAGCCCACGTCCCAAATCAGGGGTCGGAAACCCCCGGCCTTTAGGTCAGTTCGGGCTTAATGAGATTTTCCGTCCGGCCCACTACTCTTCTTCTTATGGGTATTATATATCTTCCGGCCCACTACTCTTCTTCTTATGGGTATTATATATCTTCCGGCCCACTACTCTTCTTCTTATGGGTATTATATATCTTCCGGCC